TCAGTTACCATGAAAAAGTATCTGCTGGATATTGAATACCTATGATTCATAGTATCCTGAGTGTCAATCAATTGGAAAATAAATAACTTCAGGGTGGGTCAGATGTTGGTGTTTAACGTCCACGGGCCAGATTATTTTCTGGTATTCGGAGGACTTGAAACCATTCTTTTTTGGCCACATAGGAGTGAGGCTGAAACAGCTGCCATCCATTTTCAGCTTGCAGCACCTACTGAGCCACCCCATCCCCAAACCATGGTCAGCTTCTCATAAGGGATCCCCCATATGGCTATGGCTTGGGGCTGAGGGAATGGCCACATGGTTGACCAGGGGGGTCTGAGCTAGCCACTCATGCAGGTTGCTTATGCCTTTGAACTTCTCATTTGTGATCCCAGACATACTATTTCCATCTTATGATGAATTGCTGTTGGGCTCATTCGACACTATGCCTCAGTGGGTCTCATAATCGGCCCATGCTTGTGCTGAGCAGTTCTAGATGCATGATTGCTTACTGTCCCATGGCCAAGCACTTGATCTCACAGAGAGCCCAGGAGCAAATGAGAAGGTGTTTTTCTTTAAATTTTTTTTAACTCTTATTTATTTTTGAGAGACAGAGACAGAGGATTAATGGGGGAGGAACAGAGAGAGAGGGAAACACCGAATCCAAAGCAGGCTCCAGGCTCTGAGCTGTCATCACAGAACCTGACACGGGGCTCGAACCCATGAATCATAAGATCATGGCCTGAGTTGAAGTCGGATGCTTAACCGACTGAGTCACCCAGGTGCCCGGAGAAGGTGTTTTTCAAGAGGTCGCTAATTCTTTCCTGCATGAGGCGTGGCCATGCTCGAGACCCCCAGGGCCTGTGTTGTCACCCTCCACTGGGGCTTACTACACACTCCACATAGCACCTTTTCCCACCACTAATATCTCAGACATTTATCAGGACTGGTGGCTCATAGGCCCAGATGACAGGGCTCCTCATGAACCAGAGCTGGGACCTGCTGTAGAGCTCTTCTCTTCTCTGGGCCCCCCTCAAGGCTGGCAGACTTTGTGTCACCTGCTATGGAGACTGGAGCATATTTCCTGGTGTGGCATATGCCATCTTTAGAACCTCAATGCACTGAGCTAATGTTTTCAAGGTTGAAGGTGTAAGATTAAATAATTAGTCTTTTCCTTTGGAGAGGATTTACTGGCATGCCTCTTGCCACTGGACTCCAGGATTTTTATTGAAGTCCCTTGAATCTTTGTAAGGCTTATCTTCTACCTTCTAGAGCACATGAGTCTTCCTAAGGCTTCCAGTATTCTAGACTTCTCAACTTATCCAGCCCAAGTAGCATCATGTTATATATGTAATGCATCAGTGTGATTCTCTGTGGGATATCCCATAGTCCACATATCTGTGGACTATATTATTACCAGTGGAAGGAGAGTTGACATGGCTCTGGATTTGTACAGTCCTACCTATTCCATGTGAACTCAAACTGTTTCTGATCTTCCTTTCTTTTTTTTAAATAAATGTTTATTCATTTTTGAGAGAGACAGAGAGAGAGAGAGAGAGAGAGAGAGAGAGAGCGTGAGTGGGGGAGGGGCAGAGAGAGAGGCGGGTGGAGGATCCCAAGCAGGCTCTGCATCCATAGCAACGAGTCTGATGAGGGGCTTGAACTCATGAACTATGGGATCATGACCTGAGCCAGAGTCAGACACTCAACTGACTAGACCACCCAGGTGCCCCTGATCTTTTTGGATTAGCAAAAAACATATGCCAAATTAATGGCCATGTATTATGTACCTGAAGCTGCATTGATCTGCTCTAGAAAAATACAACATCTGGCATAATGGCTGAAATTGGGCTATTACTTAGTTGAGTTTTCAATAATCCACGCTAGAGCCTGTTTGGTTTCTCCATGGGCCAGACAGGAGAATGAAATGAAGATCTGATGGGGACCACCATCTTGTATAATTTAGATCCTTAAGGATAGCACTGATTCCTGCCATCTCCCCATCCCTGGGACCTGATATTTTTTAAAGTTGGTAGTGGGCATTTTCAGAGGCTTCAATTCGACTTTCCCCACCATGATAGCCCTTATCTCACAAGTTGAGGCCCCAACTTGTATTATAACCACTGACTAAGGCATTGACTAAGCCTACCAGTCCCAATTATGAATTTAGGAACAAGGTAAATCTTATTTGGTGGGTCCACAGACCCAGTGGACTCTATCTATCACTGCATAACCCCCTCCTGCAAAGAGGAAGACCAGAATGACGCATTGTCACAAATCGGGAATAGATGGTAAATGTCAAAAGAATGGTACTGACGATGATGGCTATGGGAACTGGAAGGAGAACTCTGGAACTGAAGACCCTTATTCTAAGATCTTTATAAATATAGCATATTCCTGGAGTGGATGCTTTGGGGATTTATATGTAAACTGAAATTTATGTAAATGTAAATTTAAATGTATATGCATTTCTGCTAATAACCAGTAGGGGTGCATTATTTTTATTTCAGAAATAAGTACCTCCCCCCTCCAAAAGAATCTCCGACACTTCCATCCGAACAAAATAAATTACTCATTGGAACTTAATAATTTTGAATTGACAGGCACGGATCCAAGGGAAATATGGATATGAGCAAATAACAAGAAGACGTCAGCTACAGTTTACTTTCATCCTTAAGTGTGTTGCTCTTGACAGTTTTAATAACTATTTCTGTCTAAGTTACAAAGCTTTGTGCTGTCTCCTTGGCTCTTAGTTAAATTGGCTCCCTGAAAAAAGGAATATATGCTAATGCTCATGCTCCAGTTACTTTCAAGTAAAGCAGAATAGCAATATCATGCATCATGTCGGTTTCTGTTCAGTAATCATAAATGCTGACATGTTTCTTCAAAAATGTATTCACCACATATGCTGCTTTCTGAAAGACTGAAATAGTGGCTCTTTTTTGGAAATGGCATTACTGGCATATTGATAACCACCTTTGGTTACAATACACAGTGTAAGATCCATATGCAGAATAAAAGGCCCATCTCTCTTTCCAAATGGACTGCTTTTAAAACTCTCAGAACCCTCAGCTCTTGCTCAGCTGAACAGACAAGTGATCCAGCAGGAGTGGGCTCGTTTGCCTTTGACTGTCTTTCACAGTAATGAGGGCCTTTGGTATTTGGACGGGACATCAAGGGTCAGCTAGTGGCAAGAAGATCCCACATCTGACATTGCATTTATCAGATTCACCTGGGGAGGTTAAAAATACATCCATCTCAGTCCTTACATAGGCTCAGTAAATCAGAATATCTGGCAGAAGAACTTGAAAAACATCAGCCAGATCTGGGGATAGCTGATCTGGTCCAGCTGCCTTCGTGATTTCATTAAGTCTTCATATTTAGAGTCAGAAGTAAGTAGGTCTTGTTAAACTCCAACATCTGGCTGTTGAACTATTTGTGAATGTCCTTGCACAGACAGAGCAGACCCATCGGGTTTTTATCTGATGGGGCATCATGTCCTGTTCATCTCAATATCCTCCCACAGAGCCTCCACCGTGCCTTGTTCAGAGCCACGGCATAACATACTTTGGGTCAGATGAACTAATAAACTTAGATTTTAGACTTTTTACAGACAAAAAGGAAAAAAATAAATGTCCTTCTTATTTTCTTTTTGGACCTAAATGCTGGTTGTAACAGAACAAAAACTGTTGTAATGATTTAAGAGCATGAAGCGGATTCCTCACCCATACGGAGGAATTATAAAGTTCTTCATTGCCATCTGCTGGAGTCAGTGCTGCACTAAATCCAAACTGCCACAGTATGCCAAAGCTTCCCCCTTAAAACAGTTTATGCGGCTAATAACGCCAGAACTCCTATCCCTCCAGACCCCAGGCTAAAGGCCAGATGCCATCCGGAGACATGTGGATGCAGGGGTGTGGGAACGAGGAGGCGTGGATTCTAGCCCGGTCTGCATCTCTTTAGACACTTATTCATGCTCAGCTGCCTTCACTTCTGGGGGAAAAGTGGAAGCTTCTATAGTGAATGGTTGTGATCCTTGAACTCAGAGAGAATGCTGTTTTCCCAACTGTCTGGTGGGAGAGCAAAGCTGGGAGGGAAGCAGGCTTGGCGCCCCATGACTGATGCTGTGTATGTGCTGGGCACGCGTGAGCCCATGGTGTCCTGTGTGAGGTGGAGACCCGAGCTACTCACAGACTAACGCGTTCATCCTACTGTTATGACAAACTGTCTGGAAGTATCTGCCTATTTACCCTTAACACTGTATACAGTCACTAACTTTACTCATCCTTCCTCATCTTTCTGTGAGGAGGTAAGGTGGGCCTGTGTCCCTGAAGGACTCTTTCCCCTGGTCTGTTCCACCCTATCTGTTACTGATAGCAGGAGACTATTGAGGACATTGAGGAAAAAGTGCATCCTATTCTTCCTTTTAAGAAGTGTGGGTCTTTTCTTGCTTTTTCAGCATATGAAACAGGATGACCCAAACGAAGCAAACCTGAACTCAAAGCCTCAAATTTGCTGGGATAACTCGAGGAGAGTGTTGTCTCCTCTCTGGGTTGGATGGCCCTTGGCTATCATGGGAGTGAAAGAAACTCTTCTTTCCTGTGCTATGACTGTGGCTGGGCAGATGGAAGGGGTGTACTTGCCTGGAGCCCTAAGCACTTACAGCTGCTGGCATAGGTGTTTTACTTACATGATGCCCTTGCCACTGGGCCTGCACCAAGCTGCATGGTAAATGAGGGACCGGTAGCAGGTTTTTGTCACCCTGAGTACTGAAGTGTGTTACCGGTCCTCATGGGACCCATTTTGTCTTTCTCTTCATTCTCCTGGCTCTTGACCTTTTTGTTCTTTTTCCCTTTTCCCAGGTCTACCTCCCCGTTGGCATCTGACCAATCCTCAGCCATGACTTAGCTCTAACAGGTGATTGGCAAGAAAAGTAGCCAACACTCAGAAGAGGAGAGACTGGCGCAGAGGTGAGTGGGGCGGGAGCAGGCACAAGAAAGATTTTGAGCTGGGTCATCGTTTCAGCTCTCATGTCACCTCCTCCCTGAAGCTGTGATGACGGTCCCACTCCTTCCTCATGACCCGTCATTATCTGCACCTTTCCCGGGGGCCACTTGTCACGTTCTGCCTTACTTAGAGGTGCTACATACAGGTAAGAACTACTCTGGATTATAATCTGTTCTGGGGGACTTTTCAATTTTCAAAATTAAAAAAAAAATCATCTTTCTATCCCACCCATCACAAAAAGCACCGTATGACTTACGTGTAATAGTAAATGCTTGTTGAACAAACAAAAACAGGAGATGTGAGCTGGGTTTCGGCCCGAGGCTTGTATCTCACAAAGAATGAAACCTCCCAGTGCAAAGGGAGGTGAGAATGTGTCTACTCTCTGGTTGAGACATTTCTGGGGAAGAAGGAAGTTATCCTGTAGATGTGCGAAAAAGTCTCCACCAGAAGTAATTCAACCTCAGTGGGGTGCTTGGGTGGCTCACTTGGTTAAGCATGGGCCTCTTGATTTCAGCTCAGGTCATGATCTCACAGTTCATGAGTTCCAGCCCTGCATCAAGCCTTTTGCTGACAGTACGGACCCTGCTTCGGATTCTCTCTCTCCCTCTCTTTTTGCCTTTCCGTCTCTCTCTCTCTCTTTCAAATAAATAAATGTTAAAAACTGTTTTCAAGAAGAAATTCAACCTCAGAATGCAATGGGTAATAAATTTAGGAAGTGAGTGAAGTACAGATTATAAATGAGTACATACATTTAAATGTTCATTTATTTATTTGATGCACCAAATGAAGGTTTTCACAATAAATGTAAACCCACAGTTTAAGTGCAACAGAAGGCAAATTGAAATTGTATAAGTGACATTTATCCAGTTTCTGAATAAATACCAACTATGGAAAGCCATGTTTGGCTTGGGCTCAGCTCCATCATGTGGTATTTAATAATCCCACCAGCCCTCCTATACTGGCTACAAATTTAAGTCTTCCTGTCAATCATGTGGGAATTATCCCTACAGCGGGTGCACTGGGTCATAGAGGTAGGTTGCACTGAAGTTAGAAGTGTCGTGGGTTATCTAGATCACCCTGATCTCCTAAACGTTGTGATACTATGCTCTGCTCTGAGTCTGCAAGTCAGATAAGAGCGGGACCCATTAAGAACAGAAATACTGGACTCACATGGTCTGAAAAAATAAAAACTGAGCTCATTTAGTAAGCCATGCTTGCAATTCTCTGCAGTTAAAAACTGTAAGTAACCATGCTGGCATCAACTATAGGGACCCTCCGTTTTCAAGTGTAATTACATGAATGAACCGTGGGTTTGCCATCCGCTCACTAGAGGGTGTTAGACACTAAAGAGCTGCCTTCTCAAGGAGGTCTAAGCTGAATCGAATACAGACAGTATTCGACCAAGTCAGCCAGTCTGACCAAGACTCAGGAGAATAGATGTCAGACTTCCTGTGACAGAGCCGTCTTTTCATAGGTTTTGAAAAAAGGATCCTTTGCTAGTATGGTCAGTAAATCAGAATAATTTTTAAATTGTTTTTCTAATTTTAATGTTGATGTTCACTGGAGAAAAATCAAAAAGTAATAGAGATACCCTAACATATGAAGAACATTTTAATTCACTTATAAAGTCCACATTGAGAACCAAACATGATTAATAACAGGTTTAACCACAGGCTTGCTGGAAGCTGAACATTCTTAAGCAACACAAACCAGAATTTCATATGGTTTAACTTAGTATTTTGGTGTCTATCTTTATTTTCTTCCTATGTTTATGAAGTGTTAATAATTTATTTTTCCACTTGATATTATACAGAGATGTGTATTAACATTCATGTCTGAATATATTACTTACCAGTTTGTGTCTAGGCTTTTCATATTATGTGGATCAATATTAGATTATTCTCTAAGTTTTGAAAGCTAATTTTCAAGGAAATGAATTATCAGTCCAAATTTTGTCTGAAACCACTCAATTTTCCTGAACTGTAATTTTTTTCAGCTGCTTAACAGAGACAAAAAAGGCAACACCTAATTAATATCAGTGGAGTGACCGCTTTTGTATTAAGCAAGACAGAGAATAAAAAGCAATGGTTCTTGATATCAAAGATTGTGTAATCTAGCTGGGGAAATGACACTAAGAGTGTTGCAGGAATGAATGACAGTGAAATGAGCAGAGTGCCAGTGCCAGTCCAATATTCTGGCAATGTCGAATTATAGACCCTAACTACTAAAGAAGTTCCGAGAAGAAGGAATCAGGGTTGGGTGAACTTTTCCAACAGGCTTCCTGGAAGAGGCAGAATTTAGAATACAGTTTTGAGAAGGCAGGACTGTGCCTGACTTCCTCATTACTGCATCCCCAGCATTCAGGGTGAGGTCTGGAATGCAATTCATTTTTTAAAAGTGTCAGCACTGCTGCTCTTTTTATGTAAAAATGGTGATACTGCCCTCCAGGGGAGGATCTGTCATTGAAGATATTTTCCAGTTCTGAGAGGAGGCCATTCACTCATGTATCGCGTTTTCCTCCTATCTTTTATTAGAGAAGTAATTAGGTTCTGGAACACTGTCTAGGGCCATATGTCAGAGGGCAGGTCATTAGCTCTTGTTGCAAGTGAACTTTTAACCTTGGCTCCATGAGCACAGAATGAGCTAATCTGCCATCGATGATACATAAAATATGCTCAGCAGAAGTATATATATATATATATTTTTTTTTCTTTCTTGAAAGACCTAGAATAAAAGTGAAATATGATAAGAGAAGTTTAAAGGTATGGGAAGATGTGTGGTTATGGATTCTTTTCCCTCTGTAGTCTCTTAAAACATTCTAACACAAAATCCTGTTCTGCATAAAGTACGAAGAATGAAAATTGCAATGCACGGTTAGCCAGGCATTCAAAATGCCTTACAGATTTTGAAACTATTTTCTGGTTTTGATTTTTTCATGCTATATGATCGGTGCTGGCTGGAGGCCATGCATCCTCTTAAATTGGAAACCTCTTGCCAGGCAGAACATTGCTGGAAGCTATTAGAGACGCCAGCTCCATAACACAGGGCACTCATAGACTCAGTTATTCTGCATGGGCCTAGGGCCGAGGTATAGAACATATATTAGATGCATTTGAATTTTGTGACTCAGTGACTACATTTCCCAGCTTTAAGGGCCAGACAAAAGACATACCATGTTTATTCAAGATACAAAATCTGGCTGCAGTTTCCTGGATTGCACACTAAACACTGAAGTAGCTTAAGGGTTTAACCATCAGTGTTACCTACCACATTTGGAACTACAATCCCCTACTAGATTCAGCGTGAATTGATTGTAGTGTTGCTAGAAAACAAGAACACATCAAAACTTCCTGAAATGTTAGTGAAGCTATTACTACAGAAGGAACCCCACTTTGAGATTTGGATTCCCTTGTGTCAGTGGCTACTCATTAGCTGTTTGTCCTTTGGTGAGTGTCTTCCCGTTTCTGGCCTCAGTTCCCTGATCTGTAAAACAGGTCGAACTAGGCGACGTAAGATCCTTTCTTGCTCTCCAACTGTATGCTTCACATATAATAGCTTATTAATATATCTTAGGTGTAGAAATGGTTCTGAAACTATTCGTGTATATTAACCTTGAAAAAGGGATAGGCTTCTGGTTGAGGAAAAATGCAAGACAGATTTCGTCTGTTATACCCCAAACTGTGCCACTAAAAAAGTCAGTGCGATTTCTAATATTCTGTATGTTTGGCTTCAAAATAATTAATGATTTTCCTGTTTTCAGGTTGATTTTAGTAATGTCATTGACAGCACATGTACTTGTCTATATTATATTTTGTTAATTGGGAAAAAAATTTCCAGGAATCTGGTGGGGTGGCTGGTGTGAACCATTTTAGTTTTGAGAAGCAGTGAAGACTGAGAAAGGACATAGGGAGTTTACATTTTACATTTTATTGAGATTAGGTGTTTGGAAACAGAACTTCCTCAGCAGCAGAAATGCTGTAATGGGGGAAATAAAGTGTTCTTGCTAAGTCAATGTCCCCTGTGCATTCATATTACCTATCTATGAGTGCATGTTTTGAATTTTGGCCTGAGTATCTAATGGCATACAGAGTTCTTCACTTGCTGTCTGCTCATCAGAGTGATGTCACACTTGTCTGGCCAGGAGTTGTTGCTAGACTAAATTTTCTTGACACTCAAGGATCATGCTGTGTATGGTATGTGCATGTGTGGGGGGGAGAGAATCTAAATACATAACAGTATCAGACTTCTTCAGATGTTAGTTATTTCAGAATTGCATGACATCTATTTCTGCTCTTAACAAACTTATACTCCAGCTTTATGGGGTCTTTTGTTTGTTTTGTTTTGTTTTGGCCTGGTGATTTTTTTCTCTTTGGATTTTACCTGAGTAGACAAGCATGAAATGAGTTCTCTTTGCATTTTACTAATGTCAGGAATTCTTGCGGCTTGATATCGCTGATTGGTGATGGTCCACCACACCAGGGACAGGTAGTGGCTATTTTGTGCAATGCCCAGACCTCCTTCAATCTACCAGATGCCCCAAGAATTGCAGGCTGCCAGTTCACAGCTGAGCCCTTTTTCAAGCATTGCTCTTAGCCTAAGGGGATGACCTTGCCCCAGTTTCCATCTCCTCCCTAGGGTGGCCTACATCCAAAAACTGGTCAATGTGGAGGTACAAAGGCCTGCCCCTCTTGTCTCAAGCTTGCATGGCCCCAGGGGGCCATCCCAACTCCATGGCCTCCTATGGGATTCACTGAAGCTGACTAAGACCTTGGTCACAGCTGCATCACAGTTCAACCTTGCCCTCTGCCTAGTCCCACATCTCCTCTTACCTCACTATGTCGTTCCTCAGAGCCCCCCAGGAAGCCTCCTGTGTGCTAACCTCACAGTCTGTTTCCCTGCAAATAGACTGAATGGGAACTGTTTTCCCATTTAATGGTGTAAACTTCCTCAGTGTCCATCTCAGTCTTAGAAAGTTAAACTCTTCTGGAAATGCTAATATTGACTGTCTGGAATATTAATTCATACAATTTAGTGTTTGTATTTTCACTCTAGTATCTAATAGACAATTCTAAAATAAAAAATAAATGGGTGCAATTTTATGATTCAGGAGTAAAAATGTTTAAGAATATGCAAATATTCCCTGTT